AGGTCTTAGAATTCTCTACAATACACAGCTAGAACATGTTTGAGGAATATGACAATATAGTTAGACTATGGTGAAAGGGGACTCAGGGCAAGTAGAGCACAGAATACAGATAAGGATATAAAAGTCTTGCTTTGGAGGCAGGAAAAAAGAACAGAGCATAGTAGTTGGGTGAAAGAGGAAAGTGCTGCTGGAGAGAGTGGCAGGGATGCATAAAGACATCTTTGTAAGAAAAGATGGGTAAATCTTTCCTATTCTGAATTCTTTTATTCTAGAGCTATATAAAAAACTTTGAAGCTAAGTGTGGTAGTATGTATAACTGTAATCCCAGCACTCTGGTAGGCTGAGGCAAGAGGATCCCGAGTTAAAGCTAGCCTGGACTACAGAACAAGCCCATCTCAAAAAAACAAAGGAAATTTGAAAGCATAAGGTTTATTTTTGGTACCAGGGATCGAACTCAGGTCCTTGCACTTGCAAGACAGGTGCCAGAACCACTAATCTAAACCTCCGGCCCCGTAAGGTTTTATTTTTATCTTTCAATCCTCTTTTGGTGGTGGTGGAGTATACTGGGGAATGAACCAGAGGCCTTCACACTGAGCTACACCTCTAGCCCTTTTTATTTTATTTTTGACACACAGTCCTGCTAAGTTGTCACACTGCCGGCACTGAGCAAGAACATGAGATTCTCTTGCCTCAGCCTCTAGAGTGCTGGAATTACAGGCATGTGCTATCACACCTGGCTGTCCTTCAATTAATATATACTTATTAAAGAAAAACTGAAAAATACTTCAAAGTATAGAAAGATTCAAATCATCTCTAATTTCCTTCACCTTGTAATAGCACGGGTAATGTGGGGGAAGGGCTCACTTTCACATTTTATATGTGAGCAAAAAAAAAAGAAAAAAATACACATACACAACAAAATGTACATATTATTACAGTTGTTATAATTTTTATGGAAAATTATACCACAATTATTTTCCAGTGCCATTTAATATTCTTCATGGTTTAAAGCAACACAATGAAAACTGGGTGGTCTCTCAATTTTCATTTTTTTCGGGGAGGGTTTTTTGAGACAGGGTCTTATTATGTAGTTCAGGCTGGCCTTGTATTCACTATGTAGCCCAAAATGGCCTCTAACTCATAGCAATCGTCCTGCCTCAGCCTACTGATTGCTGGGATTATAGGTGTAGGCCATCACACACTTCAATTTTCATCATCCAAGTAGACAATTCTGATTTTAAACCTGCTAAAGCAAATTAAGAAAAATCACTTGATACTTCACTCTTCTGTAAAAGCATATATCAATCTCTGAATGCAATCAATATCATTGCATTGAATTCAAGAGCTTAAATGATTTTCACAATTCAACCACAACATTTAACTGGAAAAGTAAACAAATACCTGCTAAAATCGAAAAGGTCAGTATTGGGTTTGTTTAACAGCACTGTAACACAGTGATGCAAAAGATAGAAACGTCATAATGCTCGTACTGGGTGAATAGTTCGATTCTGGAAACTATAACTTCAGCTAGATTTTAGGAATTCTGGCCCTTTTGGCCAAGGAGTCAAATTGGCCCTTGGCCTTATTTCACTCAGATGGTCTTTGGAATTCATTTAAAAAAAGATGCAGTGTCTACTTCACCATTCTTTACAGACACCAAATAAATATATCAGTTATTTGGCAGAGGTCTCCAGTGACAAGGCTTGAAACTGTCTTACCTGGAGACCACTGAGAAAGGAAAAGTCCTCAAATCCCTTCAAGGGTAAAATTAGCAAGAAAACGGAGGATGAGCAGCAGAGTGACTGGGTGGGGAAGAAATGGTCTCACTTTGTAGTTCAGTCTGGTCTTGAACTTGCAGCGACCTGCTGCCTCAACCTTCTAAGTGCTGGCACTACAGGTATGTGCCACCATGCCCAGATGAAGAGTTTTAGGAAGCAAACTGGACAGGAAGTAGCAGGTTTAGGGGAAAAAAGTGGATGAAAAATAAGATACTGTATTAATCACCAGATCTCTTTTGGTGTTCTAGGAAATTCGTATCACTTAATATAGCACAGGCTTGTTAATAGGCTTGTTAAATTCTTAGAAGCCGGATTTAACTTTTTTTTTTTTTTTTTTTTTTTTTTTTTGGTATCGGGATTGAATTTGTGAGGCAGGCGGCGGAACCACTGAGCTAAATCCCCGGCCCTGCATTTAACTTTTATTGAGGCCTTACTGTAGTCTACACATTTCACATACCATATATTAATTCATTTCCCTCTTCATAATTGCTATTTACTCTTATCTTATACACATGATGATACTGGGAAATATGCAGATTAAGAAACTAACCGAAGGATACATAACCAGTAAAACAGGGAAAGCAAAATTCAAAGATAAACCTGCTTCTGCAAAAATAATGTGCCTTTTCTACAATACCAACCTGACTTAAATTTCAGGATTTAGTCTAATACGCTTAAGCATATTATAGCTGTCAAAACAATCTATTTTCAGCTAGTACAAGAAAAAGATACATAGTTGGGGGTTTAGCTCAGTGGTGCTGCCTCCCTCCTCCCAAGTGCAAGGTCCTGAGTTCAATTCCCGGCACAAAAAAAAAAAAAATAAATAAAAAAGAAAAAAGAAAAAGGTACACTGCATGTAAAAGGTCCACTACAAGTGTGGAAAGACATTTAGGTCAGCAAAATTTAAAAGATTTAAGCATTATAATCTATTTTCAAAAAAACTATCAATGTCTAAACTTTCAATACATTTCTAGGAACAATTTATAGAGTATCATAGTTTTTCTTATGGATAAGAGTTCTAATATTCTAATAGATTTGGGATCGATTAAATATTGGAGTAATGCATATGGATTTTTTTCTTCCATATCAAAAAAATGGAAATAGTATGTTTTTCATTTCAAAGTCATTTTGCTAGAAAGTAAAAGCTAAGTAAATTATATTCCAGGGATGTTTTACTTTAAGCAGTACTATGTCGTTAAAAGGTGTGAAACAGCACCTAAGAGGTTTACAACATACATTTTCCATCAGCATATAAAATCACTTAGAAGAGTTACATCACAGGTAATGCTCCACCGTGATTGTATTTTTTGAGAAAGAAGGTTCTTCAGTTTCTGTAGGTTTTATTCAGTGTCCATTGAATTTATTTTATTCAAAATAATTTAAAAGTGAAAAGATTATCTTAGAATATAATCAAGATAAATATAATAATGAATATATTGTGCAATTAATAAAAGTATACTATTTATTTCTTAAAAAAGTGTTTTGGGCATCAGTGAAACCTGTGGATATCTGGAATAAAATCCTAATAGTTCTTAATTATGAAGTCATTGCATTTTAACTTCCCTTTCAAAGACTTGCACATTCTCTATGCTTTCCACTTTAAGGAAGCAAGAAAATTTTAAGTTACATAATTGAACTTTACTGAAGTCAGCATGCATTAAGAAAATCTGGATTGAAGATTTGTTTACATTACTGAAGGCTTTCTCTACTATATAATGGAAGTAAAATTCATGTTGAATACCTCTGACTTAAAAATAATCAAATTTCCTTCCTTATCACAAACCCACCCCAAACTATGATTTTAACACCTGTAATATAGGTTCGACACACTTCCTGTGAACAGGAACATCATGCACAGCAATATATTTGTAAGAAACTGAGGCACAACAGACCAATATCAACCAAAAAGTCTACAAGTGCAATGTCAGTCGTACATACACTGTAAACCCAAGTTAAATTTTCATTCCCACCCAAAGTGTCAACGTAAGTGTTTTTTAAGAGGACTGCCAGTCACATGTCCAGAGGAAAAAAAGCGAGCTTGGAGCCTTCAAAACGATGCGCCACCTAACTTCAGGGTCAAATACTGACAAGGAGTGTTAAGGAACATCACTTTTTGTCCATATTTCATCAGATGCTTTGGAAGTGAAAGAAATTCCAGATAAGCACTTAGCCCTGTCCCCAGCCTTCAGGCAGCAGAGATCCAATCCCCAGGAACACAGCCTCTGCCTTTCGGAACCATTTAAGCTTGCACGTTTGTGTTTAAAAGCCTACAATGGCCCTAGAGATAAGCTCAATGCCATTTTTCGTAAACACATTTTTTTACTGGAGCAAAATGAACGATACAATCTTCCTCTACCCAGGAAGGCAGGCCTGGGGATCCCCGCCGCCTTCCCCTGAACGGCGGCCAGGACTCTGGGAGAGGGCCAGGGCGTCCCCGTGGGTTCTATGGAAACCAGGGACGCAGGCGGCCTAGCAC